TATATATACATTTATATATATATATATTTGTGTCTTCTCCACTAAGTTTTTAATTTTACATGCGATTCAGTGATTGAAATTAGAATCGTTGAAAACAATATAATGGGTTCGTCACCATGGTCCACCCCATTGTGGGCCCTGACTTCTTTTCAAGGCTCGGACATAACAGAAGCTACATCAACCTAGCCTGGTGTCCAGCCTTTTTAGCTTTAGTTCGCTCCCCAAGATCCGCTCCCCGCCAACGGTGTCCACTATCTTCTGAAGACATTGGACGCACAAAAATGCCGCCTAACTAATTCTAAAATCCATTGAGTATCTACCTAACATGCACTAATACTCTAATGCTGATTTAGTATTTATAATCCGGCTTGTCATTGTGACGTCATTACTACAGCTATAGTCCGTTTGAACTTCGCTGGGAGATTTCTTGCTGACGTCTCAACTTACAACAACAATCGGACAAACTTCAACATCAGCACGTTCGATCCTCAGAGAGATCCTGAATGGAACCCAAAAGGAACCAATGATTTCCGGTTGGTCAACTGTTACGTGACGCAAGTCTGCCTCGCGGATGGAACGTGCAGCACTTTGGACAAAACTGTTGGCAAACGTATCATAGGTACTATTTCTACTCTTTTCATAGTGCTACTTCCTATAATCTAAGGCCACACGGATTTACTTTATTTATGGATGACATCCATACTCATCTATTTTCCCCCTATTCTCAAAATGTAAAAAAAAACTCCTCCTCTGAGGCTCAAGCCTGGGTACCATCCTCCATAGTCTATGGTAGCTAGTAACAGTAGGAAGCACTGGGGGCAACTACGGAGGACAGCACCCAAGCTGCCGAAGCTCTGCGGAAATCTCATAAATATCGCAACAAAAGTCCAGCATGTGCCGGCCTGTCATTAAAGTTGTTGATAGTATGTCACTACCGCAACGCTGGTGTATTCAGAATACACGCGAATTTGACAATAGACGTATTTGAAAGTAGTCTCATGCAGTTTCCGAGGGAAATCTCTTTTGAACTGAAAATTTGATTCCACCTTCTTTTTTATTGTTACATCTTAGATATTGCTCTTGGAAGGTTCTATTTCTGTTTGGAAGATAAAATCAATTTGGCAGACTGTGATTGCCCTTCAAAATTTCGCCCCCTTTACCAAACGAAATGGCAGGACGAGAAGGAGAAACACAGGGGAAAACAATATATTTCATCCATATCTATGGTATGGACTGAAATATAAAACAATATTTCAGCCCACACCTGAAGTATGAGCTCAAACTTGTCGTCTTTGTTAAGACATTTCTCCAGCCAATAGGACCGTCGTGAGGTTGCCTTATTTGGCCCGGCTCTTCTTTAAGGCCAATCGGCACAGAGTTCTTAATCTTAGGCCTAGCATTACTTGACAGTGAACCTTATTTACCGCCGATCAGCAGCACCACCCATCTTTTATACATAACCCACCTGAAAATCAGTATTACACAGTTTGGTCACTCCACATTTTCTTTGCACAGTTTGACAAAAAGGTACATTGATATTGGTGCGGCTGTACAGCTGTGGTTTGCCTCTCCCCCCCCCCAATGTATTATGTGGCTTACTTTGATTATCTAGGATCGGACAGCACCACTACAGGCAAGCTGGTGGATCTGGATACAGATGATCAAACACAATCTCAGATATGGGGCCTCCAGGTCGGCGTGGACGGGTTCTTCAAAGGGGATTTTACACCACGGTCATTCAACCACATGCACGACGCCTGTGAAGGATTGAAATGCCCTACAGTGTCTGGGATGACCCGATTTTCTGCAATTTTTTTTTCGACTTTGCAGAACGTGCAGTGGGTCGAGGAGTCTCTTTCAGAACATTCCGAGTTTGTAAAGCAGGTCATGTCCCTGCGTTGTAAGCCTGGATTCCAGTTGCATATCAAACTCAACGTCTACAACATGATAGTGGTGTCAGAGTCTCCAGACTTTCCGTATGGCCGAGTAACTGGGACCATATTTGCCAAAGTGTCAGAGACTCCTCATCCTTATGGTCCGTACAACAGAATGCTGTGGGACCCCAGCGGAACTGGTGGTCGTCACGTGCCGTTCTACGTTGATTCCAAAAGGAATAAAGTAGTATTGGACTTTGCCAATAGCATGACGTTTGACATCAGAGGTAACGTGGTCGGACCATCAGGTGGATCCCTGTATCTAACTCAATGCAAACCATTACCAAAACTTACTTTATGCGAACTTCTGGAAGAGGCATACAACCTGGGACAAATTAACCTGGGTAGAAACGACTGGTTCAATGTGACTGCTGGCATAGTTGAGCTTTCAGTAAATCCCAAGGCAATTGAAAGCACACAATTGGTGGTTATTCAACAAAAAACCCCAACGCACTGTGAGCGACTGGTGGAGGAAAGACAAGATGGCTTGTTCGTCCAGGCCATTGACGATCGTGTTGCGCGAAAAGAACCTGACGAGGAATGGCAGATGCAGTTTCGCACTTTCCGGTTTGGCAGGCTTGCTAAAGAGGTTTTCATCAGGCCCATTCAAACCAGGCCAAATAAAACTAGGCAACATGCAATAACTATTGACAGCACTGAACCATCCAGCGACAACGGCATTTTGACGATAAAGTTCAAGTCCGAGGATCCGGGGGAGCCGAGAAAGGAACAGCAACTAGACGGCCAGGTGTACATGTACGATATAATGGCCAAGATGGGAGACGACGGATCAGAATTCACGGTTCTGGACTTAACTGTCGCAGTCCATCTGTTTTCACAGTACACTTTCACCGAAGGTGAAGTGACCTGGTACGAACATGTCTACCCGATATTCCAGCAGTACGCCAATCTCTATCCCTCCATGAAGCAAATAATCAACCTTGCAAGCTACGATGATGTTAAATGGAAAATGAAGTTACTCAAACACGCTCTCAATCTTCCTGAAAAGGACCCAAATTACATGCCGGTGACCAGGGACCTATCTAAAAACAAACGAAGAATGATCTTGTCCTGGTTAGACGACCCAAAATTGGGCACCCCCACCAACACCTTAGAGGAACTAAAAAAGACCCTGCAGATAGCACTACAGATAGAACTGTCAACCATTCCCCCATATCTGAGTGCGCTGTTCTCGATAAAACATGGCGAAAACATAGAGGTGGCGGCCCTGATCAAAAGTGTCGTTGTCGATGAGATGAAACACATGACTCTGGCTTCCAACATTCTGAACGCGATCGGCGGTTCACCAAATTTGAACATCTCATCTATAGTACCGTCTTATCCAGGACCGCTCCCGGGTGGCGCCAACCCTGGTCTCGTGCTAAAGCTTGCAAAATGCTCACTGAACCAGATCCGAACCGTCTTTCAGGGGATAGAGAGGCCAAACTGTGAAATGGTGGATTCTGATGTGGTTGAATATCTTCGCATTAATAAAAAACGTGTCATGAAGTACAAAAGTGGCAAACCTGAGGGCAACACTGTGCAGGACATCCTCAAACATTGTCAAAAGATAACATCGTCAACACTAACGCCTCAGACCATCGGTGCCATCTACATGATTCAGATTCTCTGTCCTATGGCCCAACTGGAAAGGAACTTACAAAAGAATGGCAACACTCTGTTCACAGGAGACATTACAAAGCAAATAACTTATAGACAATGGCTTGGCCACTACCACGATTCCCCATTTGCAGTGAGTGATTTTGACAGTGCAGTAGATGCCATAACCATCATCGCTTCCGAGGGCGAAGGGAGTGATCCTTGTCATCCATTTGATGTGGAGACCAACAAGCTTTCACACTACTCCAAGTTTGCTGAGATGGTGCATGGACGGAAGCTGATGGAAACAGGCCAACAAAACGAACCATGGGCACCTTACTTTGAGAACTTTACCCCATGTGATGAAGAGGTAAAATCGTGTAAAATGACGTTCGGCTTCGTTGGCCGAAAGGTGCCTTTCTTCGAAGACGGTGTCTGGCCGACCATTTCTAACCCGCGCACCAAGAGTTACCCTCCAGGCTCACAGGCTCGAAAATATTCTGACAACTTCAACATGGTGTACACAGGCCTGCTGCAGTGTCTCCACGAAGCTTATAATGGAGCCCCGCAGAAGCTAAAGTGCGACTGCATGGGCATGATGTCGTCACTAACTGCCTGGGGTAAAAGGCTGGTACAGACACCGATAGACCCGAATGGAGATCCCGAGATTGGGCCAAACGCAGCACCGACCTTTGAGTTTACTTTACTTAGCACTCCATGAAATCTTCTTCTACTTTGGCAGTTCAGTCTTGAAGACTATCTATGTCGCGCCTCTGGTGACCCTTCATATGGCTCGAAAGTCCGGCCTTGGTATCACTCCATGATAACACGTTCCTTTAAACAGCACCATGAAACCTCCACCGTCCCATCAGCACCATGAAACCACCACCGTCCCATCAGCACCATGAAACCATCACCGTCCCATCAGCACCATGAAACCATCAGCACCATGAAACCATCAGCACCATGAAACCTCCACCGTCCCATCAGCACCATGAAACCATCACCGACCCATCAGCACCATGAAACCATCACCGTCCCATCAGCACCATGAAACCATCAGCACCATGAAACCATCCACCGTCCCATCAGCACCATGAAACCATCACCGACCCATCAGCACCATGAAACCATCACAGTCCCATCAGCACCATGAAACCATCACCGTCCCATCAGCACCATGAAACCACCACCGTCCCATCAGCACCATGAAACCATCACCTTCCCATCAGCACCATGAAACCATCACCGTCCCATCAGCACCATGAAACCGTCACCGTCCCATCAGCACCATGAAACCATCACCGTCCCATCAGCACCATGAAACCATCACCGTCCCATCAGCACCATGAAACCATCACCGTCCCATCAGCACCATGAAACCATCACCGACCCATCAGCACCATGAAACCACCACCGTCCCGTCAGCACCATGAAACCACCACCGACCCATCAGCACCATGAAACCATCAGCACCATGAAACCATCACCGTCCCATCAGCACCATGAAACCATCAGCACCATGAAACCACCAGCATCCCGTCAGCACCATGAAACCACCACCGTCCCGTCAGCACCATGACACCATCACCGTCCCAACAGACTGTACTACCATGAAACCACCACCGTCCCATCAGCACCATAGGGACATTATTGTCTCATCTCCACCTTGAAACCATAAACTCTATAAAGCAATCTTTGTGTATGTCTCGCTATCATCATGATGACATTACAGTTATATCTGCACCATAAAAAACATTGCCGAATCTCTACCATCAAGCCAATGGCTTTTTACAACAAAGATGTCCTCTTCGACAACTGATTTCATAGGTTACAAGAGATACATTTAACAAAAATGAAGGCCTGGAAACTAACTAAATTCTTTATCCTAAATCATCCATCCTTGATTTCAACCTATTCCAGTACATGATATAGCATACGTTATACATGTATGTAAGGCTTTGCATATTATTTGGTGTTACGCAAGCAAAGATTTTACATTATGGGTCTTATTAACATTTTTAGAATTGCATGTGATAGTAGTGGTGTGATTTTGTGTGAAATCAGGAGTCATGCAATCATTGAGTTTACATAAAAGTTTTACTGAAAATATAAGGAAACCATAGGATTGTGGTGTGCTAATAGGTCAGTTGAATGATAAGGTAGAATAAATGACAGGAAAGAGAAACGCAGCATTTTGAAATATCACATAATGATTGTAACCCAAACAAGGAATATCAGATTACTAAGCAGTTGCATTGTTGAGACTAAAAGATAGTCCAATTTTTTGTCCCCTTTTTGGTATTAGGAGCAAATCAAATTGAAGGCTACAGGCAATTTCAAAGAAAATTTGACATTTTCTTTGCTAGCGGACAGTATCAGTGACAAAAATCGAACAGGGACTGCAGATGCAGTTTAACCACTTATAGGTGAAAATTGGTCATCTAAACTTCAGTTTCCAGCTTCGGTAATGAAAACGAGTTAATCTTTGGAGTAAATTGATACAAAGCGCATTTTTGTGGACCCAGCTTTGAAAAAAAACTCTTACAAAATCAATACAATGTAGTTTAGAAGAAATTTTGTAGTCTTAAAGGCATCCAATGCAATTTCAAGGCAGCAAGACTGGAAATATTCTGAATAAGGCAATTTGTATGATATTGACACATAATGCCCCACGTTAGCACATTCAGTGTCGATATTCACTGGGATAGAGTTGTTTCAACTTAGTATGTGGATAAGTGACTCGAACATTGACTTTGAAAAGTTTGGTTTCCAACCCTAAAAACCGCACTGGATGCCTTTAAAAGTTTCAAGTCATGTAACTGCATCGTAATCCTCATTCCTGAATGTATATACAAATGTATCATCAGGCCAGACGAATCTAGTTTGTTGGGTCTCTGATTAGCCTCTTCGTTTTTTATTTCTGATTTGCAAAAAAAAAGGTTCTGAATCAACCCAAATATGCTCATATTTAGCCCCCAACAGTTGAGAAAAGTCCTTTTCTTCCTAGTTGTTAAAGTTTTTTTTCCATTCAACGTTCAGCATTCATTCTTTGAAAATTAACCCAGCCTTTTGTGTTGACTTCATGGCTCCTATCGTAGTATTTTGGGCTATAATAGGATGCCTTGACCTGTTTTTATTTTATTTTTTTCACCCTGTCAAGAACCAACAAATTAAATTGGTGTGGCCTCAGCTTTATCTTAATCCAGATCATAGGTACATGTATCTATGTATCGTAGCTTTACCATAAAGCTGCATCATGTAACATTAGGACGCTGCAAAAAGGTAATTTTTTTGGTCATTTCTTGACAAGGAAAGTTGAATCAACCGTATTACATTGAGTGCCATTCAGGAAGTGGAGGTGCCAAAATATGACACCTTACGAGTGTGTTTAAAAACTGGAGACAAAGCTGTCAACCATAAATGTCAGAAATGTTAGATGATTGAAAAAATACTGAAAAGTGGAAGCAAATTACAATCACAGTCATGACGATTTTTTTCAGTGAAAATATTTCAATTTTTGGTGCAAAAATGTTACATGATAATGCCCTTTTAATCCAGAACATAGGTACATGTACCAATGCATCATTAGATTCATCTTAATCCAGAACATAGATAAGGTATATATAATTATCAATAATCTGTTGGTGAATACTAGTTTGATTGACTTATTTAATGTTAGACCAAGGAAAATTAATGTTGTGCTTCCGAGTACAGTCCTGAAACATTTTAAGATTTGCGACGAAGTGATCCAACAAATTCATTCAAACAATATTTGAAGACTGAAATGTATCAGAACAGTATCAGTCTGGTATTGTCAACATCACATTTCAATCAAATACGGACATACATTGTACAAATGCATGTACGAGTATTCTAATGCGTTAAGAAAGTAAAAAAGTATGCTTTAAAAATACAGTTTATATGACCTTTTCAATTGCATCAGAAATGAGGAGAACATGCTGGAAATTGATTCAATTTTTGCTAAGACCGAGGTTCTAACCGGGAACAACATTTTTTTCTGGAAAAAAAAGCCTGACAGAAAATTGGCAACTTAGAAGTATTCTGTACTCTTATACTAGAGAATTTGCAGTGAGTTTTTTGTTAATACTAGTACTGTAACCTAGTATAATCTTGTTAGGCCACACCAAATTGAACTCATCACAAAACTCGGCAGAAAATCAACCTCATCGCATTGTATGTTGAAAATTATGGTAGTCTTCTGAATGATTTAACTGATTCATTCATGGAAAGCACAAACATTGACTTATATAAAACATGGACTGAAAAAAGCAATAATATCACTACTGTTTTACAATCATATTCTTCACGTTTTGTTTTCAATTGTAAACAACAAAAACAAAAGCAACTTCCTTTTCTAAACCAAAATTGGCATTGTTACATTCTACCATTTTTGGTGTGGCCTTAGCATAAGCAAATAATGGATACTATTTGACTGAGTGTGTAGAAAGGAGACAACTTTGGATTTTTGTAGAATTTGAAAAAAAAAATCAATAATATACACCAATACTTTGTATCTGCTTGGTGGCTGCTTGGGGCTAATAAAATATGGTAAAATTCAATGTTTGTTCTCGTTCTTCATGTGTCAGTGTGTGCACACAATAGCTTCTACTTAAGTTGTAAAAGGGTGGTGAGGAACTTTCCAAACCTGTGATATGTAAAGGATGTGCAGCTTCTAAATGATCGAAGGTTCGAGTTACCAACTTAAGAGAGAAACACAACATTTACTGTTGTATCTGTATTTAACAAAGTGATCTTATTCTTCGTTGAAGGTAAAAACCTGTCACGGTATGCACTTGCAATGAAGTTATAACACGGTTATCCATATATCCTACTTGGTATTTGCAAGTGCAGTTAATATGCCAGTCTTCAAACTCTCCAAGCAGAGGTTGATGGTGGAAGATTGTTTGCTTTATATATAGCCTGTTTTTTTTTAGTTTTGTACAAGAAAAAAAAAAGGTCCATATATATAAAAAGCAAACGATCTTCCACCATCAACCTCTGCTTGGAGAGTAGGTCTTCAGACAAATTTGTTAAATCTGGAAAATGTAACACTCTTGAAAGACATGGCTTCTCGACATGACACAACAATTCTTGTTTTTCCATAAAAAGTATGTATTTGTTGTCATTGCGGAAAACTAAGATGGACGGATTCTTTAAAATCTTAAAACAAGAACATGTCTGGCACAACATTATAAAATCAGTACATAGTGGTGAATTTCACTCCTGATGACATCAGAAAAATGCATTGATGTGTAGTCACACGGCGCAATGTCCTGACATATCAAAAATAAGTACTATGCAACAACATCCCCTACTACAATACTAGTATGCTTAATATTATATGTAGTACATGAATGTAACATCAGTGTAGTATCAGTCAAATGCTAAAAAAAAAAAAGCATGTTATTTGCAATAGTTGTTCACTCAATCTAGACTAGGACTTTTACATCCACTCAATTTATTATAGCAAGTTCCTCCATTTTGAAAAAAATGCTTTGTGTTGTTCTAATTTACATAAATATGTATGCCAAAATCTTTCCCCACACAACTACATATTACCCAATATTATATCCAAAAGTCACAATAATACTGTTATGAAAATGACATCTTATCTTTGCCCCCAAAGACAATTGCTTAATTAACAGTTTGAATAATTAACTTTATAATTATTCCATTTCACTTAAAATGATACAATGCAAGTAGACACCACATTTGACTGTCCTGGTAGTGCATATGGTAGTTTCAGGACAGAAAAATGACTTACAAATTAATTTTTAAGCGAACTAAAAACACTGAATGGCTACTCCACCACAGAAAATGTACTGTACATAAAATACGCTATGTACATATTATATCGTAGGCAAATCCACAATCATTATACACAATATTGAGTTTTCAATCTGAACATTTTACACAGCAATATGCAGTGCGCCCTGTGTCCTATACATGGCTGGTGTGTATGATTGTTAAGTATGAGACAAATCTGACTTGTGTCCACAGAATCCGTCACAAAACCCACTTACAAAATATGTACAGTCCTAATACACAGTGCATATACGTGTATGTGCACAGAAAACCACAAACACACATTTTACACGTAATAAAAACACATCGTTTGAACTTTTATACATAGTTTCACCAATTGCTTCTATAGTTTTGTACAATAAGATCCTGGCCAAGATGTCTTCTGTGGCTCCTTTAAGATGATGTGGATGAGGATCTGTTCCTCTCGATCGGACCAAGGGGCTGCATCCGATTTCTAAGAAGAAAAATAAGATACGTGTATTCTGAGTAACATTAGGCTAAGCATGGAATGTCATGGTAGATAATGACCATCATGTCCTTTGCACATCTTCTTCTTCTTCTTATCCAAGTTTTACTTCTATTGATTCCCCGAATCGGGGGTTTAGACGTGCTTGCACAGGTACATGTTTGGGCTTGTCATTTTGCCCCTCAGCATGCTGAGGTGCACAACAGCAAGCCTGTGCAAGTCTTTCGGGTTTGTTGACCTAAATGGCAAAACAAAAATCATGCATTATGTACTACACATGTTCACCCCCCATGGTCATTTCTGGGGGGGGGGCATTCCTCCTACCTTGTTGCCGGAGAAACGTCGTAGTAACCGCTCTCGGCCAGAACGCTCTCGATGATGTTCTGCATCTGTTCGTACGTGATCCCCACGTCGCTGATGTTCCCCTCCTCCACACTGTTCACACTGGTCAACGCTGGGGGTACAAACAGTAGGACATGGTGGACTATGTGTTATGATGTTAAAATACTGGCATGTTTACTTATGTGTGTTCAGCACCAGGGACAGGCATGTTTGCTTGTGTGTGTGTGGATGGTGTTCAGCACCAAGGACAGGTATGTATGTGTGTGTGTGTGTGTGTGTGTGTGTGTGTGTGTGGATGGTGTTCAGCACCAAGGACAGGTATGTTTGTGTGTGTGAGTGTGTGTGTGTGAGTGTGTGTGGATAGTGTTCAGCACCAAGGACATGTATGTTTGTGTGTGTGTTTGAGTGTGTGGATGGTGTTCAGCACCAAGGACAGGTATGTTTGTGTATGGATAGTGTTCAGCACCAAGGAGAGGCATGTATCTATGGCGATCACTCAAGATCTTTATTTGCAATCAGATACAGATTCATGTACAGATACAGACTTTCCTAGTATGATGACCGTGTCAGTCCCTACACCTGAGTGAGGAGGGCTGACACGGTGGCCTTCGCGTAGATTTGTGCGAACACACTTTGGGGAAAGAAATACAAACAAACAAACAAACAAACCTGGCCTATCGGCTGCAGCTGCGATGGCGGCCTCCTCAGCGGTGGCCTGTCTGGCCGTCCAGGGGGCAAAGTTCAGGTCTATCAGGTCCCTGGACCCTGTCAGAAGCTATGGACAAGAAACACATTTATTATGCATCGCTGACAGTCATGACTTCAAATATCAGACTTATCGAACAAGAATTGAGGTGTTTTCAAAAACACGTATCTTCCAAGAACTATAATAATTGTAGAGTAGAATTTGCTGCTACAATTCGAGCATCATCACTAGAAAGCTTTAAACAACTCCTGCAATGAAATGTGCAAAGATTGAGTGTAACAGGTCGTTTGGTGTGATATAGCCAGCTGCCGCCGCGCCGCGTGCCTGCGAAGCTGATATGTTACGCCAAAGGGCGGTTATACTGGCTATACAGATACAAATACAGATGAAGAGTAGACATCTAGTTAATACATACACAAGGAAATTGTTACTAACGTGAGTAAGGAACTAGCTTACCTTCTTAAGTTCACTCTTCAGGTTGAAGGAGCTGCTCTGAGGCGAGAAGAGAGCTCGCATAAACTTCTCCACCACCCGCCGCCGAGGATTGTGGGTAAGCGTGGGGGGAAGCTGGGAAGGGACAACACATCAACGGTCAAACACTGGGATACTCCATGTGAAATAACCTAAAATCTAGCCATTTCAGCTAAAATTCTGTAGCTAGCATGAAGTATCTATCTCTGCTGTTTGTATATTAGGTGTTACGTTCACAAACATTGATCTGGAAACACACACACACACACACAGATGATAAATGACATGCCTTGAAGTCTTTAAGTCCCACTCAACCCTCTAAGTCTAACCCTAACACCTTCCCTCCTAACCCTAACAACTATAACACAAATGTTATGACTGATGTTATACCTGTGAGATGTAGATGATCTTGTGCAGTTGGTGTAACATCTCCTGGATCGGGTCTTTGATCTGCCGAACTTTCCGAGGAGAGATGGTCAGCATGGCCGCTCCAGCTGACGCAGAGTCTGGGAGGATGGAGAGATTCAAGTTGTGTTTATTACGTTTAAAAACATAATGTTTTTGCTCTGCTTCTTTTTCTTCTTCTTCTCCAAACCAATAAGGTCAGTGACCTGAACCACACATCTGTCACCATGGTAACTATTGTTGGGTTACATCATTTTATAGCAGGAGAGATTTATTATTTTTGCTATGTTTCTTTCTTCTTCTTCTCCAAACCAATAAGGTCAGTGACCTGAACCAGATGTCTGTCACCATGGTAACTAGTGTTAGGTTACATCATGTTGCAATTTTATAGCAGTAGAGATTTAGATCCTGTCTGACCATATAAATAAATGCGTTTGAGTAAGAATTAACAGAGCAGACCATATGCAAAGGTTAACATTATGCATTTGCTTTGCAATGTTACCTTTCTAGTTGAAAACACATATATGAACTTTCATGATAACATAGAAAATTGCAGATAAAATTCTTCTTCTACTTACTCGGCCTTCCCTTGTTGGACGACAGTCTTCTTCTCATCAGCTCCAAGGTAGAACTGAAGAAATGGACAGACAAAATCTTAATTAGTACTCTTAAATCTGACATAATATCCCTTTAAGTCTGCTTATGGTACAGAAGCACTGGCTTTTCCAGAGGGAGTAAAAACTTTGGCCATATTTGGCTATCAAAGAACACACATGACCAAATATGGCATGTTGGCTTTTCCAAACTCTGCCTGTCCCCCCACCTCTGTGTCCTGCGCTCCCCGCCATTCCCGTCACTGCTGGTAGAAGATGTGGAAGTTTGGTGCTGCAGCACAACTCTGTCGGAGCTTTCACGCGGAGGGGAACTCGTAGACGACTTCTCTGTGGAGTTGGACCTGCTTCTGAATGTTGACTTGTCTGGTGGGAAAAATAACAGAAAACAAAACTCTTGAGACCTCCCTTCAAATACAGTAACATTGCAGTCAGAAGCTCTGAGGAAGGTGTCTGATAGACATCGAAACGTAAGCAGGGGAGAAACTTTTAGGTTGTGTATGAAGAAAATTCTATATCCTTGTAGGATACAGTACAGTCTTTGCTATACAATATATTACACTAACAATATTATGCAATATAATCACAACAATACAATTTACAAGTTTTAATTTAAACTGTTGTTTTTAATCTACATGTTGGCTTAAAATTAAATACATTGTTTGTTTCACATAACCAGTAAACTGCTCCAGTTTTGTACGGTAAGTACAAGTTGATTTAGACCAGTCTGTAACTTAGCTTTGAACCACTCACACCAGGAAGGACCCCTGCTCTTTTCAGTAACGTGCACAAAGTGTGGCTAGAACCATGATGTGTAGTCATCCTAATGACTTCACTTGTCAAGGGTTTTAAAGATAAACCCAGCTCACCGGCCCCGTCCAGTTGTAGAGCCCTCCTGGCCCCGTGCGGTGCCCGCGGGGAGGTGGGAGGGGTCGGTTTGGACAGCTTCTTCCCCGGAGACCCCTGAGGAAGCTGTAAGGACCCCGAGGAGCTCAGGTCCTTCTTCTTGTCTGCCTTCTTGGATTTTTGTGCAGTGCCCGAGTCGCTCTCTTGGTCAGAGCCTGATGAACTGGACAGATCTGTGGTGGAAAAATAGAAATAATTTGTCCGAATCTGTGTTGGCAGAATCCATAGTTATAGCGTTCAAGCTTTGTTCCAAAACAAAAAAAAGGAAATTCAATTTTTTCGTCGATCTCGTCAACCTTTGTCAGATGTATGATGCACTCGCTGACTCTCCGAAAGTTGAAAACGGAAATTTAAGTTTACTACTTTTGTTGGAACAAAGGTTTTTGGCACACGTTTTGACAGATAAGCCGACAAGGCTCAGTTGTCGTCACTCCACCGTATAGGTGGGGAACTTGTGTTAAGGGCCCAAGGGCACAACATCAGGGCATGGTGAGTATTGAACCCGGGACCTACTGGTTCCAAGTCCAACGCTGTACCATGTTGCCACCGATGCCACAAAGAAGAGATAGAATAGAATAGATAGAAGCCTACTAACCTTTTTCACTGTCAGCTAACGTTGAGCTCCCGTTTTCTCGCTTCTTGTTGGCCTCGGCGTACGCGGCGGCCACGGCGAACACGCTGTCGCTGAGGTCACTCCCGCTGTCCCCCCCGCCCTTGAAGCTGGACGCCCCCCCGCTGCTCTGCAGGCTGACCAGCTTGTCGTACCGCTCCTGAGATGCCAGGAACAACCGGTGGTAGTTCTGCATGTTCCGGTTCGCCTCCACAAAATGCCTGATTCAGAAAGAAAAAAAAAACCCTGAATTTTAGTACAGTTAACAGTCTCCACAAAATCAGTGTGAAAGATTTGTAGATGTAACACAGATGTTGGTAGTTCTGCATGTTCCGAATGGCGTCCACAAAATGTCTATTTTAAGTGAAAGAAACCAAATTTTACTATGTCATATTTAGCAGAAAAGTACTGCTGTGTAGACATCAATCATTATAGGGTGTTTTGAATCATTGTTGACCCTCTGAGATGCCAGGAATAACCGGTGGTAGTTCTGCATGTTCCGGTTCGCCTCCACAAAATGTCTGTTTCCGAAGAAAGGAAAGAAAACATTCACTGCATTAACAGAACTTTAGGTACTACTGTGTAGTACTCTGCAGGCTGACCAGTTTGTCCTAGCGCTCCTGAGACGCCAGGAACAACCGGTGGTAGTTCTGCATGTTCCGGTTCGCCTCCACAAAATGTCTGATTCAGAAGAAAGAAACCAAATTGTTGTACTACGTCATCATCAAGAACAGGGCAGTTCTCTAACAGGGTCATATTGCAGGACTGAATAAACCTCTTGGTTGTGTAAAAAGAGTCTCTTTACTCTCCCATCCCTGTGTTCAAAACACCACAATGCCGGTTAGCCTCCACAAAATGTCTGCTCAGAAAACAAAAACTGGATTTTACTGCCAACCTTAACCACTGGCAAGTCTGTTGCGTTTCAGTTTGATATCTTAATTTCTATACCCCTTGAATGTAATTTCTGAATCAATGATTTTCAGAAGCAAAATTTTCAGTGAGTGAAATATTTGTCCCTTCGCCACAAGTAAATAGAGGGACGGGTCCCGAGACAGCCCTGGTCTTCAGCCAATTCAGTTCTAATTTGTCAAATTCCTTTTGTTGGATCACTTCATCCGAAACCTAAAAAGAAAAGAAAAAAGAAAAATTGGAAAAGAGACCTACCGACCCTATTTTTCTCAAGACTGAAACCAAAAACACCACATTCTTTAAAATTCTAAGCCTTATTTTTCTCCCACCTCTGAGTTCTCTTTCTTTCCCTCTCCAGTTTCTTCTCCATGTTGACCTGGTTGACCCTGAGCTGGTCCATGAACACCAGGAGTTTGTCTGAGATCAGAGCAGCCACCTGCACAATGTCTGGTCTCTCCTCGGGTTCTGATGTCAAACAGCTGAAAACACAAGAGGAAAGAGAAATAATTTATCGAATAAAAATGAACACCAGGAGTTTGTCTGAGATCAGGGCAGCCACCTGCACAATGTCTGGTCTCTCCTCGGGTTCTGATGTCAAACAGCTGAAAACACAAGAGGAAAGAGAAATAATTTATCGAATAAAAATGAACACCTGGAGTTTGTCTGAGATCAGGGCTGCCACCTGAAAAAAACACAAAATTTCCTTTCCTTATACTCCTATTCTGAACTTAAATTACTGCAACACTAAGCATAGATTTGTTGTTCAGGTAAACTGATTGTCATAACTGTGAGAAAGTGTGAATAAGACAACTCACCTGCCTATAACACCTGTGATCTGCTGGGAGTAAAGGTCTTCTGGAAGTGGTTCATACTCAGCATTCACTATCTGTGAAAAAAACAATAATATCATGTCTTCAATAAGAATTATGCATTGTGTAAGGGTTAAGGAAAACCTGCATTGCACTTCTAGCTAATGAAAAAGTACAACTCTCTTCCTTGGCCACTTCACCTTGCATAATGCATAATGTTTACCTTCAAATGGCCTAGCCTGACAAACAACTGCTCTGTTTATTCTTACTCAAAAACACTTTCAAGAATAGCAAAAACAATATGTTTTCCTTCTGTGAAATTGCAACATGATGTAACCCAACACTAGCTACCATGGTAACAGACAACATTGGTTCAGGTCACTGTTTGGAGAGGAAGAAGAGGAAACAGAGTAAAAACAAAAAATTTTGTACCTTGGTTGCGGGGGAGAGCATGTTGGAGCTATAGAAGGGAGGTTGGAGAGCAAGGCTTTGCCTCAGCACATATTTTCTATGGTTTAGCTTAGACGAAAACTTAGCACATGTATAGATAGATAGAAACCATAAATTTTGTACCTTGGTAGCGAGAGACAGCATGTTGGAGCTGTAAAAGGGAGGTTGTAGGGCGCACATCTGATACAGGATACAGCCTGACGCCCACACGTCTGCTTTCTCTGTGTACGGCTCACTTTTCACTATCTCTGGGCTAAAGAAAAACAACAGTTACTGTCGTGTGATGCCACCTAGCAGTTGAACAAGACACTGCAGTTACCTCAGCAAAAAGTAGTGGCTGTTTGTTTGTTTGTTTGTTTGAACCTCTGTTTATTCATGAGAAGATAAAGTCAGCCTTCAGGCAGTTTTTCATTGAGGTCATGAGGCAAGAGTTAAGAGGCAGACAAACTATATAACAAACTTAAGATGCAGTTTACATCATTCAAAGTCCTAATAAATCTACACATATAGATGATAGATAAGTGGAATTAGAACCTACCATGAGTAGAGGATGGTTCCCACCACTGAAGTCATCTTGCTCTCTTCTCTGCTCTTTTGCCGGGCAAGTCCAAAATCAGCTGTAAACAGCGGGTAGGGGGGGGGCAAAAAAGAATTTTCATATAAATTATGGTCATGGCAGCAACAAGAAATTAGAGATTTCAGAAGTATGGAATTCTTGGACTTCCTGTCATTCTGTCTATCTACCTACCCACGTACTGTAAACCTACTATGTCAGGACAAACAGACACACAAACCCACAGCCACCCAAACAATACGGCAGAAGTAAAAAGTCTTTAAGTAGTAGTTGTGAACATCCTTCCTTCTCGAAAGATGATGGTAGCACTCTACAATGTGTGCCCAAACTTGTTGATGCCCCTATTTGTTAAGTGGGATGCCCCAAGTGTGGACCTCTCCTTGGTGCTGATCTCACCATCAGTTCCATGTATTAAGTATTGTAAAGTATTGCAGTTGTGGCCTCAATACTGTACAAGACGTTTTGTTCATGTTGTGGCTGTGTGCAGCATCTAGTGTGGCAGGCCTAATGTAAAAGGTCTGTACATGACTGATTACTACATTAAACAGACAAACAAATGACACATACTGATGGTGACTTTGTCGTTTTCTCCCAGCATGATGTTATCAGGTTTCAGGTCTCTGTGGACGATTTTCCTTTCCTTATGCAGATATCTCAAGGCTAGCACAATCTGAAATGGTAGGAATGAACAAAAATGGGTTAGATGTTCAACACAGCCCAATGCAGATTTGTCAGGTCTATAACTTTGTAAATAGAGACTGTAAACTTTATGGATGAAGTTGGCAGAACGTACTGCGCCTGTGCAAAACCCAGATTTTTCATGGGTTTCATTCGAAGTTTGGTCATTGTTGCATCAAAATCTTGTCCGTTGCAGACGATATCTTTTCCGACACAACATTTTAAAACTATAGACTGGATACCATTCTTAGATAATGCAAATACAACATTTAGCAAGACATTCTGCTGAAGTGCTATGCAACATACATCACAAGTTTTGCACAGGCGCAGTACGTTCTGCCGACGTGCCAGAGAATTCCTGTAAAATTACCTGTAAGAAGGGTATAGAATTTTCTTCTTACACAACCAGTAAGGTTTCTCACCTGCTTACGTTTGGATGTCTATCAGACACCTTCCTCAAAGCTTCTAACTGGTGGAAGCATTTAAGAACCTTTACTGGTTGTGTATGAAGAAAATTCTATACCCTAAGTATCTTCCAACCTGATGAAATTCTTTACGGTACCTGTAAGAAGATGTTCCATATCCTGTCCTCCGGAAACCTCTCGCCCTTCTCCTTCAGCGAGTTGAAGTGTTCCCCTAAAGGAGCGCCCTCTATCAGATCCATCAGGATGTACAGTCTGTCGTCTGGATAAAAAATGACAGTGTTAAAAACATATGTAACATGGGAGTAAAGAAGCTCTTTTTTTCCACACAAACAAGTTACGGTGACCGTCTGTCACCTTCCTCAGGGCAGTTCTGACTGGTTCACATTGCACTGCAGCACAGGTGTTGCTGTTATAGATGCATTCGCAAATGTAACATATTTATCTACACAATGTCAGTTATGTGATACACAAGAAAAAGTTACTCAAGCAACTGGATGGTGTTTCTAGAAGCATCCACTCCTTTTTGTCAGTGAGTACTGAAAAGTAGTGGATTCTATACGAAATGTCAGACAGTTTTCAAAATCAATCCAGTTGCTTGAGTAACTGCAACTTCTTGTGTATCATCACTTCGTTGTCTAAAAACTGTGGTGATTTCTGAACAAAAGTACAGACTCTTCATTATAAGTGCTCACTCTCAGTAAAAGTCTTGTAGTATCTGACGATGTTGGGATGTTTCAGCTGTTCCCGGATGATGTTGATTTCTGCAACAATGTCTCCAATACTCTTGTCTTTCTCCTTCGCCGTTTTTCCCAATGCAGGGTTGTGAACATTGATCTGAGGAGAAAGCAAGGTTTTGCACTTAAAATTTCACTATTTTTTTTTACAAGCTTTTAATGTCACAAAATACTATTTTTCTAGCACTGCAGCAGACTGATCACTCACTCACTGCACGGCTTAACGTCCGTTGTTCCCCGTCATGCAAGGGTTGGACGTTGAAGACTTTAATTTCAGTTTAAGATATACACTGACAAGTTATATTAAATGACAACCAGAATTGCCAGAAAAGTATGTAGAGGATTCAACGAACTCACCTCTTTGAGTGCAAGAAAGGTCCCTGAGGAGTCTTTTTTCTTTACCTGTTGAAACAACAAAATTCATTATTGAATTTTGAAACAGTTGAAACCAATATTGACCAAACAAATGCATGTAAATACTAAATTAATAAGCTCTGTATATAAGTAGCAACAGTCTGTCGATTAGATCAATTTTATCTTTGTGCAGTGTTTTCGAAATGGTGCAGTGTTTTTTAAATGATTTCTTTCCTGGAGTTCCCATAACATTACACAGCTGAATTTTTCAGGACATATGGCATTGCACATTGTCAACTATCTCAAGATTACATCCTCAGTTTGCGATCATATGGTGATCGCACAACATACAATCTATGGTTGACTGACTGATTCACTCCGCATTCCTGGAAAGTCAGCTCAGTGAATCAGACATTCGATGAAGGTTGACAAGATTGACTAAAAATTCATGGTGTATTGGAACAAAGTTTAAACTTTACAACTATGGATTCTACCAACACAGATGAGCTGTCATTTGGAAATACAATATTATGTGCCAGGACAATTCCCTTACCTTGTACACATTCCCGAATGCCCCTGACCCCAGCAGCTCGTACACAGCATAGTTACTGATGAAGGTGTTCGGCTCCTTGTTCTGGTTAGTGTCAAATATTCTCTGCTGAATCACCTGCAGCTGGTCTTTCTGCAGAATTATGGAGAAAAATTACAGACAGTTTAAAGGTTGACTTCAGTGTCCAGTACTCTAGTTTATTACTTACATGTATGTGTGTATGAAGGTTTGGGTTTTTGGTATGTTTGTGTCAGTTTGCTCATGTTTCTGTAAAATATGCATGTTGGGGAGTCAGGTCTAAGGTCTCAGTAAAAAATAGCTCTTGGAAAGTTTATCTCATTTCCCGAATATAGCAGTAAAATTTGAAGCATTTCATATCTGTACAATTTATCACATGTCTGTGAGCAAATGTTGACAAAAAATATAGTAAAAAAATTCAGGGGAATCTTTGAATGGACAACTGAGTTTTTACTTACTAGTACAATGTAGTACAAAATTCTAGAAATGACAAGAAGCATCATGATCATTAAGTTTAACTGTTATTTTCTGCTAAAGGTTGTGATTAAAACTTACAAGAAATGTCGTAACTTACTGGTAAACTGTTGAGTTTGTCCACGACTTGTTTGTAGGCGTTGATGTCCCGAATGTAGTGGCCGATGTCAATAAACATCTCAAACAGATCAGGCGGAAACAACCTGGGGAAAGGGCAAAACTTGTGACGTGAAGAGGTACATATTACACCTGACATAACGTCTAACCTGTACTGTGTGGGATCGTGTGGCACAACGGCAGCGTGCGCGACTCGGAACCAAGAGGTCCCGGGTTCGAGTCCTGACATGCCATCGATCTTGTGCCCTTGGGAAAGGCACTTTACACGACTTTCCCCACTAGACTCAAGTAAAAATGAGTATTGTCTGTCCAGTATTCGTTTCTATGTGCGGGACACAACACCAGCAACAGCTACCTCTGTTCCGTGTGTACTGCACTGTTGCAATTTCAATAAATCAAATCAAATCAAATCTGTACTGGTGATGATGACCCCTTCAAATAGGAACCACATGTCATGATTTCTAATAAAAAAAAAGAGTGTACCTCTTGAAGAGCTGTCTATTCCGCTCCATACTGAAGAGAAATCTGAGAGTGCGGAAGGCTGTTCTCTGGAAAATGAAGAAAAAAAAGAGTTGGTAAATTTTGGTATCTTGTTTGTTTGTTTTGCATCACCAGTAAACCACCTTAGAGTTTATGATTAATCAAATCCATCCTAACAATGCACTATCCATTTTGACCATTACATAATTATACACAATCATCCATTTCACCATTATATAATTATACATAACTAGTGACCACATCGTACCTGTAGGTCTATGAATATCTCAGGGTTCCCTGTGTCTGGAGGCATGATGAGGAGTCCGATCAGGTAAACCCCGTTTGTCTGGACTATCTGGTACGCGTTGGTGTCATTCAACACTAGTTCTGTTAGTGCCGTGCACACAACTGGCAAAAAAAAAACAACAGCTTTAACATACACTAGAATTTTCATAAGAAACTGTGTACTTCAACAACAGTAAAACTAAAACAGAACTTGAAAAATTCTCACTGCTTCAAGTCTTACAGCACATTTCAAGAATGGTTGGTATACTATTAGCCTGAGTTTAGTTGTGTTGGTAGCAGTCATCACATATGAAAGACTAAAATTTCATTTCAACTTTTAGTGTATTTTAGAAATAGAAAAATTTTTTCTGTAAAATTTATTACTAGGTGGAAAAGCTCTTTTCAACTGTTCGTGAAGATACTCTGGAAGAAAAAAAGAAGTGGAAAATCTGAGATCCAAGAATTAAATTTTTGTGGGCTTGAAGCTTAGGCCTGTTTAGAAAATCAACACCTACAAAATGTTCAGTCACTTCGAGGACAAAATGATTCCATAACTAGATTTCAATCCCACCTGCTTTCAAGGAAAGTTTGTCCTTTTCACTGACGTTGACCTCTGACTCGTCACCCTGGAAGGTGACCTGGAAGCCGCCGTGACCCGGGGTCGCGCCAGCCGAGCTGGACAGCTGGGTTAGCGCTGTCCTGTCTGTCTCAAACTTACGGTCACTGGGAGTGGGGGAAACAATCAGGAGTCGTGTAAACTTTAAGGTAAAACTTTTATTACGACCTGAAAGGTAAATGCTGTCACCTAGAGCTTTTGACCAGTCACTCTGGTCTTCCTCAGTAGACTGACCCAGTGAGGCTTGTCACATGGCTTCTCTGAAGTGTGACGTCATCATTGGGTCAAAGGTATCGCCCATCAGGGTCAACAACAATCATGAGTTTTGTCCAGAACCTGCATATGTAATGCCAATACAGACAAGCTTTTGTTTGCTTGTTTGTTTGTTTGTTTTACCAGGGAAAACATGTCACCTTCTAGCGTTTTTCTATGTGACCTGGGGAAAAACCTCAAACGTAGTACGGTATAGCAAAATTAAAAAAAGGACCATAGTTTTGCCTGAGATCTCTTTTCTGTATCTGTATCAGTATAGCCGGTATAACTGCCTTTCGGTGTAACACACCGGCTTCACAGGCACTCGGCGCGGCGGCAGCTGGCTATTAAACTTATGTTCTTACTTATTTCTTTTATTAAACTTATGTTCTTACTGTAGAAGAGACAGCAGGAGTGGTATCCCCCCCATCAGTCTGATGTCATTGGTCATGTCTGGGTCTTCACACAACTGGACCAGGATCCACACCTGCAAAAACATGGGGAAAACAGCAGCTAAATTACTGTAGCCTGGTTAACAAACCTATTTTAGCTCCAGAGTTTTCATACTCTCTGCAAATACATGTATTGCGGAGAGGATAATAACTTGGGACCTTGCATCAACACAAATACCACAATATGTAAAGTCAATTGTTTAGTTACACAGTTAGTTTCTGTAGTAAACTTGTGACATTTTTTCATGAAGACATTTCGGTTACTCAGCTCTCAACTCTGATAGTAGTGAATGTGTGCCCCCTAGCAAGGTACAAAAGAACTGCAGACTAGGAAACGTTAATTCGAAGGCTATGACATTTATGCAATGACAAAGTAAATTGTATGAAAATTTTTCCACTTACCACATTCCACAACAGGTTTAGACTGTCATAATGCAACAAGCTGTGGAGAGATCCATGAAACACTGTTATTGAACACACCAGTAATACTACATGACCTAGGCAAAGATATAGATTGCATATTATGGGAGTTCTGGACCTGTCTGTATTTTACAATTACAAAATCTCATGCCATGGGTTTGTATCATAGACAAATTGGATGTGGGGACAAAAAAATTGTTGCCCTAAAGAAGAGAAGAATCTTATAACACAACTATAAACATACAGAAAAGGCTGAAAGAATATTCCAATATGTATGCATTTCTACTGACCTGAGAAGTACAGGTACACCGTCGTATATCTTGACTTGTTCCCTGGCCTGGCTGTCAGCACAGAGGGACCGCAACAGCCTCGCAGCAAGACTGGAGAATAAACATGTACAGAACATACATGCATCAGGCTGGGGTACAAGTTAAATCTACTAATTCACCGGTACCCAGTCAATCCTGTACAAAGAACCACCTCTACACCTTTTGGTGGACTCTTAGATAAATGTGGAAAGCAGAATTTTGACCACATAAACCTACATAACATTGACATCACCCACACGATAGAGGCAAATGACAGGCTGCCATCAAGCCTCAGACAATGCAAGCATGTCTATATACCCTCGGATGACAGGGAACAACAGAGCCTAAACCGAAAAGTGAGTGTGTGTCTTAATGTGGAATAAATGTGTAAATAATCATGGAAACCCAAGCAAACACGAAAACAGATGTGCTGTAAACAAAACTGTAACAGTCAAACAAACAACAACCAAACTTGATGCCTCACCTTTTAGACATGTTGTCATACTCCTGCAGTATTCTCAGTAATGTCTCCACACAGTGCAGCTCTGCTATAACAGCTCGAGGCTCAGGGCTTAAGGAAACAAAAAGTTAACTTATTCTTATGACTCCTGTTTAAGAAATTTCTAAAAGTCAAAGAAGTATAATTAACATCAATGCTTATAACTCTGCAAGGTTAACGTTCCTTACAAGACCACCATATTGAAAAGAAGGTGTGAATTTAAAGATACGCCAAAAAACAGGTACTCAAGCAACTGGATATGATTCAAAATCATATCCAGTTGCTTGAGTAACTGTTTTTTGGCGTATCGTATTACCTGGATGTCTAACCTTCATCGACGTGAATTTAAAGATATCTATTAAATTACAGTCATCCTCAAAGTACATTTATGCACACTTCAGATGGCAGATGTTTAAGACATTCTTGGAAAGGTTTGTTTTTCAAATGTGGCAGTCTTATGGTACCCAGCATAGTTATGGCCATTGATAATAGTACATAAAGTAATCATTCAAAAATAAACTTTGCTTGTGCTCATCATTTCCCTTTGAACAAGTGTTAAAACGTGTCGGCCTACCTTTGTGTGAGGCTGATGAGGGCATACAGGGAACAGTGGAGAACTATCACATCATTGGCTGACAGCAACAACACCAGCGACTGGGGAACAAAGTAACATCATCAAATACTCACACAGGAATGTTAATGTTCATACTTTCAGTACAGACTGACAGTGAAACTATTTGGTCAAAACCTACAACAGTCTTCAAGAAAGTAATATACAAAAAGATGCTTCACTTTCATGCTCAGAGACTCTCCTTGGGCTCTTTATGTCTTGAGAGACGTCTACCAGATTGGAGTCTCTACCTGAGTGTAATTTTACAACAGTGTTTTTTACCTTGTGAGCCTGACAGGCCACCAACCAGTCTTTCTGCTTCTCCTGTACTGACAACTTCTGGAAGATGTCTGGAAAAAAAAGGTGTGGTGTTTAAAATCATCTGCTATTGTGCTATAAGCCAGTCCACAGTTGAAGCTGTACAATCCATGCATTTAGAATTAATTATCAAAACAACAAAACAAGAGTTTAAAATCAGGGCCCATCACCCTTCATTGAACCGCGATGGGGGCCGACATCGTCTACCAGCAACCTTTGACCCAGTGTTGACGTCACACTTCAAAGAAGCCACGTGACAAGCTTCACTGGGTCAGTCTACTGAGGAAGACCAGAGTGACTGGTCGAAAGCTCTAGAGAGAGAATTTTTTGTGTTGGACCAAAAGTTTTAACTATAAAAAAGAGTTTAAAATATCATGTATGATAATTATGTATGATTACGGCATTAACAGATAGTGTATCAACGTTAGAGAAAAATACGTACTTGTCATTTCCTTGAGTATATCTACCACATACGGCCCCTCCCCAAAAGTCAGGTAGCTGTGGGTGGCTGCCTCCAGACGCTGCAGAACAAGAAAATAAGATGATTAAAATCAAGCAGTGCCTTTATGTACATCACATCAGTAATTTAACTGGTTGATACCCAAGCCGCGTAATGTGTAATGAATATGTTATACAAAAAAACATTCCACATACACAGTCAAAGAAAAGTGATACCCACTCACCTCTGCTAGCAACTTGAGGCCATCTAAATCAAAGAACATTTTCTGTAAAATAGAGATGCAGTTAATTAGAGACTCAAATTACACTAGACAGCAGAGAAAGCATGTATGTACCATTTTTAAAGTCTTTGAACTCCTGCAGGTTAGAAAGCGAGCACTCTACCCGATTGAGCTATTACACTGGTACTACTATATGTGAGAATGGCACCCAGGCTATAATACTTCTTCTGGCACACAGTTCTAGCTGTGTACCAGTACTGACCTGATATGTGGGGTCTCTCATCAGCATACGGAGACAGGTCACCACTCTCAGGATGTTCTCTGGAGGCGCACGCTCTGTCCACTCCCTACAATAAATCATATGTAACTCAATATCTTATATCTTGTTTTCTTCCTTCATGTGATAACAAACCGAAAATTGACAACCTATTTTCACATTTCGGTAGGTAGTAAGGTAGAAGTCCTTTGAACTCACTGTTAGTCAGACGGTCTGTCTGGAAAGTCACTTGTGTTAACAGGGAGAAGAGAAGAGGAAGAGATGAAGAGAAGAAGCAAGTTAAGATGTGCAGTTAATCAAGTTAGGAAATGTTGAAAGTCTCACAATAGAATTATGAAAATACGGGGGTAAAATCTACTTACAGGCAGCACAGTCTGTATTTGAACAGTCCTGAAAGTTAGTTCAGAAGAGGAGGTCTTCAAAGACAGAAGACAAGAAGAGCAAGAGAAGAAGATTTAGTTTTAAGGAGTGAAGTTTATAGAGTCAGAAAATACAATAGAATAGAATAGAATAGAATAGAGTAGAATAGAATAGAATGGAATAGAATAGAATTACAATAGAATTATGAGAATACAGGTAAAATGTACATCTACTTACGGGCTGCAGAGCCTGTGCTTGATGAGTGCTGTGAAGATCTGTGAGAAGTACCCCTGCATGGGGTGTTTACTGAACACTCTGTCATTCTGGTATCTCTTACTGTGGGGAGAGAAACAGAAGGTACTGTTAACTCATTTAACTTTGTGGTACTTATGGTAATTTTCCTTACATATTTATAATGTGAAATTCAAGAATTCAGTGGTGTTGATCTAGCAGTTTAAACAAAGTAGGAACACTAGTGTTTGATAGAGAAGTGGCCACACAAGATTATACAAAAAAAACTGTGACTATTTCAAGATCTACAGTTAACATCTGCAAAGCAAATGCATAATGTTTACCTTCACATGGCCTAGCCTTACAAACTACTGCTCTGTTTATTCTTACTCAAACACATTCATATGTAATCTGACCAGCCCTGTAACTCTGTCCTGAAATGGGTACATAATATAACCCAACCCAACACCACAGGGTCCAGGTCATCGCCCTTATTTGTTTGGAGAAGAAGAAACACAGCAAAACAATATGCTTTCACTTCTGCAAAGGTAAACTAACGTAACCCAACCTGATTGATGTCTGTCACCATGGTGACTGGTGTTGGGTTACATAATGTTGCAATTTCATGGTCTGCTCCACTCCTGTCACCATATACTCATAGTACATGTATGTGAATGTGTTTGAGTAAAAATTTACAGGGCAGACCATGTCCGAAGGTAAACATTATGCATTTGCTTTGAAAATGTTACTTCTCTAGCCCAACCTGAATTTCTCCAGAGCGAGTGCCTCTGTAGACTGCTCCTGACAGGAGGGCTGGGCGGGCGGCCACTTGATTTTCCCGGTGCCTCGCAGCTGTCCATACCGACTGGACTTGGAGGGGGCACTCACGTCGATGGACGGAAGCTGGAAACAAACAGGCTGTGTTTAATTTGTGTTTCAGGAACATTACGTAGTAACATCAACACTTAGAATAACAACCTCTTTCTACTGGTGCCGGCAACCACTGAACGACAAAATGTTTGACAGATCACTCAATGGATTCTACAGACAATTTTTTATGTTTTGACTTACTGCCTTTTAATCTATACTTTTACACCTAGTACATCATATCATCATCATAATCTTCAATACTGCTTAATCTGCAATAACAACAGATTACTACTAGCAATTTTCCATTTCAAAAGTCACACAGTCTGACTCTCAATCTTGGTCGCTCTAGCTAGCTGTCTAGTGGAAGAGGATGTCAGCTACAATGTATGGAGTACAAAAGTATTACAGATCTTTGCATTATGTCTTTGCATTGCAAGTGCTTGATGTACCTTTAGCAATTGGCATCTATCTTACTCTTTGCTACCCTGCTTAAGTAGTCCGACACCTGTTAATGGATTGAATGGTATGTGAATATTCTAACATGAAGTTTGTAGGAGTATAAACTCACCTGTTGTTTACTGGCAGGTGTATTGAGAAGGCCCAGAAGTCTGGCTAACTCTTTTGACTCCCTGAAAGTACAAGACAATAATTCAGACGAAATGACACAACATTAGCAGATTTTGATATTCAAAATGTAAAAAAAAATGTAATAGCCAACTTCTAAATTCAGAATAAGCAAGTTCTGGGCACAGTATCTAGAAACATGCGCTATTCAGAATCTGGACAGTCAGCGCATATCCGAGAATGTAGATTTGCTCCAGGCATGGTTCTGGACTAACAGTCATGGACTATCCAAAACCCGGGCCTGAGCATGGTTCTGGATAAAATTTCCAATTTCAATTTTCAATTCTATTAAAAACAGTCAACATAGCAGGGGTACCTAGTACTCCTGAATTGTGTGGACTTTACATAAGTACAAGAGACGCACAAGGCAATTACATACAAAAGTGGGACATGAAACACTAGAACACTAGGTCTGCATTTGGCTATTGTACAGTCTAATTGTGCAGTCGATGAACGAGTTGTACAGTCTGTTTGGTTCTGGATACAACAGGTGCTGTTTATTAACTTGACATATACTGATGAAAGTGTTGTACTTACTGTTTGGACTCCGGGGTCTTCCCGGACCCCTTCTTCTCCTGCCCAGGCATGATGACAGGAACAACTCGGATCACCCAACTCCAACCAGCATGATTCACTACAGGCTACTCTGGGAAGAAAATTATAATATACATTGTCAATGAAGGTTAGACATCCAGGTAATAAGATACGCCAAAAAGCAGTTACTCAAGCAACTGGATATGATTTTGGAAATGGTCAGACGTTTCAGCTAGCATCCACTACCTTTCGTCAATTGTCTTCACTTATTTGCATATTAATCAATAGTTTGTGCCTATAAACCTGCATTTCCCCTCTGGTCTCTCAGTCACTGACGAAAGCTAGTGGATGCTAGCTGAAACTTATGATCATTTCCAAAATCATATCCAGTTGCTTGAGTAACTGCTTTTTTGGCATATAATATACATCAGCTAAGCAAAAAAATAAATACATAACATTATACTAAAAACACCTGAGAGAAATTTTTCAGGACTACTGTCCTGTAAGTGTAACAGTTGATTTCAAGTGCCACCAACTGACTTATCTGACAGGTCCTGGACCTTTTGTTCAAGTGGTTATGCTGTTGTTATTGTAGCTGGGGGACTGGGTTTGACTACCGGTAGCCCCCCTTGTCTTTCTACATGTTTCTGTACTGCTTAAGTGCCCCTCTTTGTTTCAGCAGAGATTTCATGGTTCACTTCAAAATCATGACACTGGAGAAGTATGTGTTTTCACTGTGACACTATTGTACTGCAGAATTGTTTCTACCCTACACGTCAGGTGTCAAATTTCAGACAAAACAACTTAATCAACCACTCAACTTAACAAGTGACTCCAGGATACATCTTAACTACATAAGTGTGTATTATACTAGTTTCAGCGCACACCACAATTTTCTAAATTAAAAAAAAGAAGACTATAGCTGGAAAGGTGTAAAAAATTTTAATCTGTTTAGAAGTTTGACCCCTGACCCTGAATAAATCGGTTAACACTAACATGGCTCTCAAGGGATCATTTGCTGTTTTGACAATTGAATATTGTTTTAAGTCAACGTTCCTATTTTTTCCCGCACAACAACAATCTCATTGTGAACTCAGAACTTCGCTGGGCTGGCAAGACATCGTGATTTTGAAACAGCTTTCTGAGACTGACAGCGATGAATTTATACTTGAGACCCTCCCACTTTTTGGAGATTTTTGTGTAACATAAAAGTCTTGCAAATATCGACACTATATGTTGGTTGTGGCGGAATATAGAAAGATATAAAACTTGTACGGCGTTCAAAACAGAATATAGCTATGCCTACGCAACCAAAAAGGCAACACAGGAACAGGAGACAAACGCAGACAACTCAGGAATGAAGCTAAGTACCGAGTTGACTTTTTCATCTCCTGTTTGGCCAACAAGATGGCCTCTAGAAATCTCGAAACACGAACCTGTTTCTTGCTCCTCGCTTCGCCAGATATCCGAAACGACCAGACCTAGTCCTGTAGGAGTGTGGTAAGAATGTGTCTTGATGTCTTCGAGTTCACTGGTTCTGTAGATTTGTGGAATTTGAGCAGGAAAAACCGGGGATCACCCTCCCACTAGTCGGTACCCCACCGATCCCTGTTGCCAAAGTGACGTCAAGTATTCACATGCAAATTAGGCACCGGGTGACGTCACGCCCGGATCTGACCAATCGGAAGAGTTCTCTCATCTGGACAGGTGGGCGGGCGACTCGGGGAGTTTGGTACTCTCCAAGCAGAGGTTTGGGTTTTGGGGGGTATTTTTAGCGTGTTTTTAGGCTTTTTTATCGGGGTTTTGCACTTGCAATTTTTTTCCCACCAAACCCAACTGGTGGGGAAAAATTCAGTGCAAAAGGGAAACCCCGATAAAAAAAAAGCCTCAAAACACGCTAAAAATACCCCCAAAACCCAAACCTCTGCTTGGAGAGTAGGAGTTTGGGGCAGTAGCCTCTAACAGGCTTCGGGAAGCGACAGGAAATAGTAGAAATTGGCCAAATAGAGAGAGATAACATGCCGAGGGTGCAGCAAACTGTACTCTCTGGTGGACCAACTCCCCGGCGTGTTATCTCCCTCTATTTGGGCAAATTCTACTCTTTCTGGCCACCTCCCGAAGCCTGGTAGAGGCTAAGTTTGGGGCGCTAGCCTCTATCAGGCTTCGGAAAGCAGCTTGAAAGAGCAAATGGACAGATAACATGCCATGGTCTGCTAAAGGAGTACATTGCCCTGGGTGCTGCATTGGCGGACCAACTCCCCTGTTATGATGGTATGTGTCTATTTGGTTTCTAGTACAAATGTATTATTTTTGTTAGCAACCATAAAATTGTACAAATAAAAGCATATACAGTACATATAATATAATATACATGTGTAATGTATTATATGTGATAGATGTACGTTCTCTTACCTTGAATAAAGTTGCTTTTAGTCGTTGAAAAGAGGGGAAATTTTTTCTATGTATAAAATAACGTAGATGTAAAAAGTATCCCGTTCTTTACGTTGACATTGTTTTATAAGTGTTTTTTGGTATTTTGTGTGTCTTTCTATGTGATGTGAAACCAGAAAAACACTGGAAAGGCACGCAAAAATGCTGCAAAAATTGCTGTAAAACCAGCCCAACCCCACATCTGCTTGGATATGTATTTACGCGCCAATTTTTTATCCTGCCCTCTGACCCGCAGCTCCCGTCATGCCCCGCGCGCAGTGACCCTGTCGTCCATGTTGGTTTTTTCATGCCGCTTTTTCTGACGGAACTCGAACCTTTCGCGAAATGTTGGCCTCTTTATCCGAGAAATTCCGCTCAATTATAACATCTGTGACGTCTACAGTTAGCCCACGACCAAGTCCACCTACAGAGAGGCGTAGAAAGCGCCAATTTGAGAGGTAAGTCGCTGTTTTTTGTGCTAAAGTTCGACGCAGCCTTCGCATACTAGAGTATGGCGTGGGGGTTTTCGTTTCGTTTTTCGCGGCAAAATTTCCCTTTTCCCGCTCCGAAAGACCATATAAGCGAACTCCATATTCAGCGCCAATTCCATAAATTATACTCCACCTATCTTCAAAGCCATCCTCTGACTATTTTGATGCCAAGAATCGCTAATAGAGATGCGTTTTTTGCCCACTGTTTAAAAGGCACTTTTGTCACAGAATCTGGCACATGTTCAGTTTCTGACGTCTTTTATTTTAAATTCGAAACCGGCTTTCGTGCCTCTAGCTCAAGATATTCTCGACTCCTGGTAGAGTTTCCTTCTTTATTATCGACCACTTTTATGTAGGAATCCTAAGTATGTTCACCCTTCAAAGCCAACTATAGTGTTTCTTTGAGTATTTTGAGTTTGGTCCATTTACATTTGATAAGAAACATTTGAATATGACACAAGAAGGCTATTGTCATCTTCTATAGCTTTTGCATACATGACCAGGGATTAAGGAAGTGTGTAATATTGTAGTTAAAAGTATTTTAAAAGTATTATAAGTTCATGGATATGTATTTATCAAATCATGTGCATGTACTAGTATATATTATAGTATAATTCATTAATTGATGGGCCAAAGTAAAAACAAAAGTTATGTTTCTGGTTGTGTGACAGCCACACTCGAGAAAATGTCACTGGCCATGGGAAATGACAGTTCTTAAAATCTCCAAGTAGATCGTTCGGTGTCCGCAAAGACAGTATCAAATTGGCCGGGCAGTATAATGTCAGTGTCTTTGTGGCCACCGAAAAATCTGCTTGGAGATTAGTGTATTCAATACAATGCCATAACGTTACTTAGTTAAGTACCAATATACATGTAATGCTACTGATGCTACTAGTACTTTGCCTCTACTGGAATTATACCACTGAAGCAAAATGTAACTGAAAAGTCTCTTGATCTTTTACTGTATTTCTGATTAAGAAAGACATTTAACCCTTGTTGTTTTCCAGCAATGATGAGGTGTACCCAGATGACTGCCTGATCACACCGCCTGTCAAACGGGCAAGGATCGCTGCAGGTGCAGGTAAAAAAGTCAAGTCCTATCAGAAAATGGTTGCTTGTTTCTTCTTGTACTCGTGGGTTTATTCATACAAGTTGTTCCTCTAGCTTGTTTTTGTGTATTTCAAAGTTCAAGTATGAAATGACAAGAAAAGTGTGCTAAGATATAGCAGTCAATATCTGATAAATTTCTTCATCCAGAATATTTTTTTTCTATTGCTGCCCTGTCGAGGAATTGCATTGGATGTCTGTAACAGTTAGTTTTGTTTGTTTGTTCAGAAGGAAAGCCGCCCAGCTTCTCCTCTTCCCTGAGTGTTTAGAACTCACTCACTCACTGTCCGGTTTATCGTCTGTTATTCCCTGTCTTCCGAGGGTTAGACGTGCTTGCACAGTACAACTGGGGCTTGATGGCAGCACGCCACTTCTCTCTGTCCTGTGGGTTGATCTTGTCTAAGTTCAGGTGCAATTAACAGTTTGTATTTCTGTTTTTGTTTGTTCAGAAGGTAAGCCGCCCAGCTTCTCCCCTTCCCTGAGTGGAACGGCCAGCTGGCTGAAGGAAACTGCCATCAAATGGTCGCAGGGGTTCTCCTTCTACACCAAGGGCCCCCCTCCCAGAATGGAACAGTCCAGCTCAAACCACAGCAGAAGAGTCATCCAGGTGAGATACACAAGAGGGCCTGCATGGGGGGGTAGTGATTACGAATTACGCAAACGTTATGCTGCTGATTACAAATTACGTTAAAGTCTCACAGCTGATTACGACTTTATGCCTTGCGGCTAATGTCCTACAGTGTATTACGAATTACGTTGATTTTTGCGGAGGCTGCCTACGTATTACGAAGTCTAAAAAGACCTGATTACGCCTTACGGAAAGAGCATGCAGGCCCTCACATAATGATCCTACGGAATTCTCAAAAAAAATATCCATTTGTTCCTTTCTTCTAGTTTCAAAGTTTATGATAAAAAGATGTCTGCAGTTCCAAGAAAAGTTGCTGGGGGCCCAACCCAACCCAACTACTTCTTGAGCTCAAAAGTCCTTTGCCCTTAACAATATAAAATGTCATATCTATAAGGTCCACCGCAGTACCATAGAATTTATTAGATGCTAGGGAGCCCGTAATCCATTTATCCCTTTTTTTTACACCTACCCATGTACCAATTATTATGCTAATCCAGAGATTAGAAAGTTTTTGACTTAATAAGTAAGTACTTACAAGTGCAATGGTGTCTGAGCAGTACACCTTACAGACATTAACAAAGCGTTCTTTGTGTTCCAGCCTATTGTCAGAAATCCAGTAGATGACGACATCCTAAATTCCCCGTTTGACTTTGAGGTCCAAGCAAGGAGCAGTCTTCATAGAGGAAATCATGTCAGCACATTGAAAGGTAGGATGGAGAAATTCATGTATTCTGATATGTGCGATTCATCTTCAATTTTGGTTACTGCATTGAGTATTTAGAGACTCTTTTTACACAACCAAGTCTTTTATTCAGCTGACGTTTAGGTGACCGTCTGTCACCTTCCTCAGGGCAATTCTGACCGGTTCACATTGGTCACCGAAATGTCGGCTGAATAAAAGACTTGGTTGTGTAAAAAGAGTCTCTTCACTCAGTGACTTCCCAACCTGATTAAACTGTTCACGCATGGATACTGCATATTTGTAACTACACAGAGATATGGATAGAAACATGTGTAAATTGTATTGACTTGGCAGTTAACTTTCAGGAATATCAATACAATATATACATTTGTAAACAGTGCTTGTATATATTTTTGTTTCCAGATTCTTCATGAATATGAATATGAACATTCATATTAACCAGTGTTTGTACATTCTTTGTTTCCAGAATCTTCCAGATTAACCCATGAGAAACCCCCCACAGCCCCCTCTACCAGGACAAGCAGCGTCACAGGTACGGAGACAGGTCACAAAATTGTCTTGAATGAAAAAATTGCTTTGGCATTATGCCTATTACCAAGGAATGGAAAGATTCTTCATACTTACTTACTTGGACCCTTGGCCCCACAAAGAGCACAGGCCATCAATGACTGTTCTACATCCAGCTTGATTCTAGGCTTCTCTCTTGTACCATTTGTTTTGCAATATACGAGAGAGGAAAAATGATGTAGTTGGCGCAAGGTTTTTCTGCTAGTTTCTTTTAGTTTCCCATTAGCTTTCCACTTCTTTACCCTTAAGCTTCCCTTTTCTTCAGTCTGGGTTGACCATACCGTATCAGAAATTTGTTATGCTTTGATTAAACTGGCCCCAGACACACTCTTCAGAAGTACCAGAAGATTCAGTCCTTTTATTTGATAACACAACTAATCACAGGTGACCCTAATCAGCTCTGTATCCTGAACTATTCATCTGATCAAACAGAGCCACTAGTCCTTAAACCGTTTCCCTCACACTTTTCTCCTGTTATCTGTGACAGGTGGTGGTTTTTCCTGCATACTTTCTTTCTTCTTTATTCTTTATTTCAGGCATAACTCGCCCATATAAAACATACAGATTAAAATACAATGTACACACAATGACAGCAGTAAAAATATGTCCATATGTACAGACGGTTCCAGATACTGCAGAAGAATCTGTTGCGGAATATTACTTCAGATTTGAGAACAGATTGGATAATGTTGTTTGAGGACTTGTACATACCTGCACTGGTGCAAGTAAACATGGACAAATTTTACCTGCACCACTCAGAATTTAGGAAGTATGGCTCATGCTCAAAACTTACATTCCTTGGTGGTAACAGTGAATACAGCTAATAAAGTCCACATGTACTGAACACTTTGCTGTTTGCTATGACAGGCGGAGGAGGGAGGATGTTTTTTGAGACCCGAGTGGAGCCAGTTTCCCCAGGACCTGCCGGCCACACACAGAACACCCAGTATGTACCTGTCAACAAGTGAGTTCTGTAGATTCATGTAGTTCTACTGAATTGGTTTGGTTTTCCTTTAATGCCTATAATTATGATAATGATCATTCTAGCACACTCATTTCCACCTGAGTGAAGTGAGGAAAGTTGTGTAAAGTTCCTTTCCCAAGGGCACAAGTTCGGTGACTTGGCAGGATTCGAATCCGGGACCTCTTGGTTCAGAGCTGAATGCTCTGCTATTACACCACACGACCCCAAGAGCCCACGACAGAAAGAAAGAAATGAAAGAAAAATTGCTCACAACATTTTGTAAATGTATAGCAAGGAGTTTGTATGTCTCTACTGTTTATCATATTGTTTGAAAATGATACAATATTAGCCCAGATGAAGATGACAGACAGTCATTGAAACCATGGCTCACATAAAACAAATGGTTGTGCATCAAATAACTTAATTATTCAATCACTTACCAACATGATGAAGTAAATTTGCAAACAACTGAAATTAAGGAATGTTACCAAATTTCTAACACTACCATCATCATCTACACTATCAACACTATAGGCCTGTTTTACATTACAGAACTAACGGTATCAGTAAAGGCCGAATTTCCACCACACCGAAGCCTGCCAATCAGAACGGCCCGCTGCCTGGACGTACGCTGTACCGCAGCGATGCGCAGAGACAAGCGTCAGTCCACGACCGAATCCTGCAGCGCCCGACGTCTCCCGTCATGTCCGTGGCCAGTATGTCGTCTGGTGGGTCCCTCTGGAGTATGGCTTCAGCCAGGAGGAAACTGTCTGTTAATGAGGTACTGTAAAATTACTCATATCATGTTCACAATTGTCTTCACTTTATTTGCATATCAATCAATAGTACGTGCTTATAAACCTGCATTTCTCCTCTGGTCTCTCAGTCACTGACGAAAGCTAGTGGATACTAGCTGAAACGTCTGACGTTTCCAAAATCATATCCAGTTGCTTGAGTAACTGCTTTTTGGCGCATGTTCACAGTACCTAAGTTTCAGAGTGAAAAGGTAAAAAAAGAAAATTCAGGGTTTGCAGATTGTATTTCTTAGCTTGTGTTCAAAACAACAGTAGGAAAATGTTGAAAATGCTGGCATCTGTTTGAGGAAGCTGTCTGAGTCAATGAGGTACTGACTTATGTCATGTTCACAGTACGCAAGTTTCACAGTGAAAAGGTTAAAATTGGCGGTTTCCAAGCTAGTTTTTGAAACAACAGTAGGAAAACGCAAAAAATACTTGCATTTGTTTGTGTCTATGAATTGAGAAGAGACCACAAGAATAGTGTAACATGAATTATGAGTACATACCGGTTCACTGAATAACTTTGAATAACATCCAAGAACCGAGTACATGTACAAGAAATCTGAAAGTCGTGAACCAATTCTTTTTTGCACAACGAAGTACGAATATATTATAACAAAATACAACAATATTAGAGATATTTTTAGAAACTTACCAGCTAATCTGGCCACCAAAACAATTGTTGAATGATCTTTGTGTGCTGATTTTTTTCCAGTGTTTCCGTATGGATGAGAAGTTGAGATACCAGCAGCTGCTGAGGCAGTTCTCTGCCAGCCCTGCCCCCCAGCAGATTGATCGTGAACTGCAGGCACCCATTTTCTCACCTCCACTGCACAGAAGACCCAGGTTAGATACAGCCAACATCTTCTAATGCTTAGTACAATTTTTGTCTCCAACTCCAAGCAGATCTATTGGTGGATACAAGACAGTATCAAACTGGCAAGACAGTAAGTATCAAATTGGCAAGAAAGTATCAAAATGGCAAGACAGTATGAAATTTGCAAGGCAGTATATATTTGCCACTCCAGCGTAAAAATAAAAGATAGCAGCACAAAAAAGAAAGCTGGATAAAAATGCTTAAAAATGTGCCAAAAATAAGTCAAAGCCTAAACCTCTGCTTGTGGAGTACACCAATGTTCATAGAGTAACAGCTTTTACGTAGCAAAAACTTGTTCTGTTTTACTCTTGGGTCATGGGCGCCGCCATATTGATTTGTGATATCATGGGTTGGCCATATTTTTTTTATTGATAAGGTATAGTATTGATGCACAACTTTCTCTTCTTTTAACCTTGCGCTCTTGATCACTGTATGTTGATCTGTTTTAAGGGGATGACTGAAGTTTTCAATCACTCTATCTTGTGTTAAGTGCTTGTGCCTTGAATAAATGAAGATGATGTTTGACACATATTACATAGACTGGGGTAGGTTTACCATATGAATAATCAATTTATCTACTTCTGTGCCATTCTTCAGTAATTCAACTTTACTCGGTACGACGGTCCCAAGACCAGAGCCTATCCGGGAAGAACCGGAGAGAAGTGCGAAGGTGCAGAAGAAACGAGTGAGCGTCGTGCGACACGAGAGCTCCAGAACGCAGAAGGACAGCAGTTCCACGCTGCAGGATCTCAGCCCCGAGGCAACCC